AGCACTGACTCAGAGGCTTTGATTTCTCTAGTCAGTCCCATAAACTCACATTAAAAGCAAGGATGATCACCATGTATGAAAACAGTGTGGGCAGACAGTGTTTAAAGCAATGCTTCCCCATCCCTGTTGATCGTTGAACATGATATAGTATTTGTAGAGGCAAGCTTTGATGCCCTGAATTTACTATACATGTAAAATAAAAGCTCCTTGGACAATGAGATAATCTTCAAAGAACCTAATTAGAATAGATGACCGTCTTCAAAAGAAGGTCAAGTCCAAATCCAGATATTTCTCGACTTAAAGCAGGGCTCATCTGATCCTTCAGGCTTGAATTCTGTGTGTCTCCTGCACACCAGTGCTTTGATGTAATGGTATCATAACACATGCTGTTTACCCCAGTCACAGCAAAATGCCTTATTTGGCATTCTCTGTTGAACCTTGCATAAACCACAAACAGGACATTGACAATGAACTTTAGAAGCATTATGCGGACCAACATTAGCTATATGTATCGTATTTCCATAATATTATGATATAAAATACATCCATTGTCCAGAGCTGAGATTTGCAGAGATGTCACAATGGTTGTTGAAATGATAATGGGGGAAACATCATTATTCCTCCATATCTTATATTTTCACCATTCGAGTAGCCACAAGGTAGATCTACTTAACAGCAGGAGGGGCTTTTCACTCGTCCACCTCCCCTGCTCTGGCTCTCAGGGGTAAATGGCGCAGAATGAGAGAGAAGATTGCAGGGGGGTTCCCGATATGGAGAATACAATTACTCACAATGCCAATGATCAGTGGGAGAGAACGCAAAGCATCATGGGGTGACTTCGCCAGCCCGGCCTTTGATGTGAGAGCATTATAAACTCTAGAAAGTATAAGGTATCAGCGATGAGAGTTAGTAGGCATGTGTTTATTTGTGCTCAAAAGCAAAAATAAACACTGAAATGAAATCTCAGGACACATAATGCCTTAGAGTAGTATTTGTTGTATAACAAGGCCTCCCTTACCATTTCATAAGAGGGTATCCACATGTGTTTGAGATATTGAAGGATGAATACCACTCTTATGTTTGTTTATTAAATGTGGTACAGCCACAATCAAGGAAGCAGTTGTCCAATCCCAACAGAGTCGGCCAGCTAACCAATCAGAGCAGACTGGGCTCTGGTTTCAGACAGAGGGTGAAAAGAGGTGCTGCAGTACAGGCAGTATGAGACAAATAAAGAGCACAAAATACAAATATGAACCTAGAAATGAGCATAATAGGGCCCCATTAACAACAAAACCTGATGTTGTTTAAAGTGGACCTATCATGCTATATTTGAATAATATAGTGTAGGACCATACCTATATAAGGCATATTTATACTTTTTTTTTTTCAAAATAACAAACAGATCATGCATTTTAGCCATGCCTCATTTTGCTCAATTTGACAATTTCTAGCTCTGGGCTGATTCTGTGAGAACAGCACCATCTACAGGCCTGGCATATGTACTACAGCGTCTCCAGCGCTTTCGAATGGCAATGCCGTGGCTGTCTCCTCCTGATTGGTGGAGTTGGCCCAATAGCCGTAGCGCCACTGTCCTGACGTCAGGACAGTGTTCAAATCTGGATCAGTTTTTATCAGATCCGTTGCAGCCCCTTTTTTTAGAGATTTGGGTATGGAGGAAAATAGAGAGGGTTGTGTTTTCTGACACTTGGTGAGTTCCCTGGAACACCGGGACACATATTCATGTATAAAAGACGTACGAAAGTGCATTTTGCATGATAGGTCCCCTTTAAGTCATTGTAAGCAAAAGTATTGCAGCTGCTGCTATAGAGAAAAAGCTGTTTTCATTGTCTTATTTTCTGTGATGCTATTTCAAACATTTTCATTACCTCAAATCGCTCCAAATCTGCCTCTGATCCAAACTTAACTACCTTCATCACTCACTGTAAATAATAGCCAATGTAACTCAGGTCAATGTTACCTTATCCTTACATCACCCCAAAACAATGAGAGACAAAAATGATCTGAGACACAACTTCCAGAAAAACAACCCTCACCATGGCCCCTGTCACTTTATCTCTTCCTCTCATCTATTCCCCTCTTGCTTTTGCTCTTTTCCTGATGAAGACAGATAGCCATCCTACATGTGTCGACACGCCACAGGGGACGTCACTGCAGAGAGCGTGGAGAAAACAACTTAATACAGACTTGTTGTTACTAAACACCATCTTAATCTGTGTTTACTTCATCTACAAACACTGGGTCAAAGTCTCAGACACAAACCAAACACATGCAAAGTCAGACTGGTTAATTAACTCCTTCTTATGTCTGCCTGTGCTATGTGTGATTTGACTTAAACAGATTCATTTTGGACCCCCTTCTGACATTCTTTGACATATTGCACCCCCTAAAATTACCTTCCGAAAAAGGAAACCTCAATAACATTTAACCAGAACCTCTGTCAATATTATTCTTCGACAACTTCAAAGCGGGGGAGAGGATATTGGAGCCCGAGCAAGAGACCAGAGGAGATAGTGAGTGAGTGTGAGTGTGTGTGTGTGTGTGTGTAGAGTTCAGTGTGGCCTTTTCAGTCAGTCTGACAGTCTCTGAAGTACAGCTGCCTAAAGCCATGAGCCACTCCTTCATATCCATCGTATTCACATTTTCTTTGAAGCTCTATCTATCTCCCTACCTTTGTCCACACTGTGCAAAACCCCAATTCCTCCTCACACCACTAGGGGTCCCTGTGCACATAATAAACAAAACACTTCCAGCCTCAGTAACCACTATCTCTGTCACATTTGCCTTTTCATGTAGCAGTAATAGAAGTAGCACCTCTCTCATTACAGACATTAATGATGCTCAGTGAATGTTGGGGTTTTGTGGCAGGACTTCTGCACAACATCAGACGGACATACAGCAGCGAAGGACAAGTAGACACAGGATCCTAAGAGCTTCAGGGCCACAACAATTAAGAGGGTCTCTTTTCCCTCGTCCTCACCTCCCATAATGGTTACAATCTGTACGAGGGAACGCCAAATGAAAGTGTTGGAACGCATCAGTATCGGCAGTTGCAGATACACTTTTTGAAGATCGGGTTCTCTAAATGTCTCTCTGTAACGCCTTCCCAGATGTGCGTCCTGTAGGTGGATGTTTCTGCGGTCTGCTAACAGAACATTAACTTTTAAGTCTTCTTTCGTCCCCGGCTATATGTGCACTATGCTGTAAGCGCTGGCTCCCGTCCAGGAATCTCCTGCAGCCAGCCGCTCATAAGCCCCTCTCCTAACCGGCCAAGAATGTGGAAAAGCTCCTTCAAAGAGAAGCCCAGTGCAAGGTGTGGTTAAAGCAAGTACCTGAGTCCACAGGTGGCCTTAAGAGAGCAGATGAAACCCCTGAAATCCCACACCTGTCCCAGAGAGAGGAGAGGAAACGAGGGTACAAAGATGGGATTAGATCAACATGGTGCTTTTGCTATCAAAAAACATCTGAGGCTATTGTTCAGATGTGTAAAAAAAAACAAGAAATATTGACTCTTCAGCCTTTCAGATTCCCAGAGCTCGATGAATGGTGCCCAATAAAAAAGTCAAAGGGTCAAAGGGCAGGAGTGTCAGAGTTTTTACAACGTGAAACTGTGTTAAAAGACAAGCTGATCAAAGACCCTCAGCAGAAACGCCCCAATCTGCCTCTTCTGAGCGGAGAATACAATGAGCGTACAGGGACGGTGCAACAAAGCCGCCCAGTAACAGGAGTGAGGTGGAGTGGTGAGAAGAGGAGTGGGGAACATGGCTGAGGACAAAGAGCTGCTTGTCCAGGGTCTGTCTGCCGTCAGTCTGCAGGGAGGGGCCCGGTGCCACTTGTTTGAGGGGTCTCCATGATAAATGTCCCACTACTTGACTCCGTCACATGTCTGCCACTTGGACAATAACTGAGGTCATGGCGGAGTATAGTGGAGCGTTGACATGGTGGCCTGCAGCGAGAGGGGCCACTTTCTCTCAACACCAGCGCTTATTTCAGATCCGCCCGCTCCACATCATGACTAATATGTCTTAAGAAGAGTGCTGGAGTGAAAAATAAATAAAACACTTCTCACAGTTGTCTTTACTTGGACCTGTTTATTTGCGGACATTAATCATGCGTATAAGGGCTCATGCTCTCAGAGCCTCATACACATGTACTGCTGCAGGGTTGTCAAACAGAGAAGGACAGAGATAGATGTTATCCTCATGGAGAGGAAGCACATGACAACATGTGAAATATTTCTCATTTACATCTTTGGAATGACTCTGTTGAAAAGAAAACAAACAACTCTGCTCATGTTTATGCCACCTGGATCTTCTTGGTGACGGTTTTCTTGGAAGGAACGAGCTTCAGCGGCAGCTTTATACACTGTAGAAATTGTTACTTAGCTAAACATTTCAAATATTGAGGCAAAGGTTTCAAAGCATGTTCGGGAGTCGGTTGACCTTCTGCATATTTTGAGTTTGAGTGGTTTGGATATTTTAGGGGAATATCGCTCAATGCACAGTGGTGATAATAATGCAAAAAAACACAATGAAAATGCAGAGAAATCAGACTTCTCAAACCTTTTGGACCTAATAAAAAAAAAAGGTTAAGAAATTATAATAATAATTAAAAATAATTATTAATATGTTTTATTAATATGATCACTGTTATTATATTAAGAATAATAATACAAATAAGTATTGCTATTATAATAATAAAACGAAATTATACATACAAATAATAAGTATTAATATATTATTATAATTATAAATACCAGTATATAGGCTAAACATGTCCCGTCTAAATGAATAGATTGCTTAATCTGTTTAATTGTTAACCATGGGAATATGAAATAATTCAACTAAACAGAAAAAAAAGGTTCATATTCTTTCATTATTATTTAAATGATAGTACTGCTGACGATACAGCAACACTCATTCAGCTCTGCTCTCTGGTCGGGTCTCTCTGGGGGGCATAATCACGCAAACCTGTCATCCCTCTCTCAACCTGCGCTCCCTCCTCTTAAAAGAAGCAGTTTGTGTGTGTTTGTGTGTGTTGTGTTTGAGTGTGTGTGCGTGTGAGTGAGTGTGTGGTTGTGTGTGTGTTGGGTGGGTTAGGGGGGTTCTCAAGTCGTCCCACCTCCCTCTCTCACAGTCAAGACGCTCCAAAGTTGCGGAGCGCTCCGCGGAAACTCTCCAAAGAGTTTTCAGCTTCAGAACTGCACCGAGTTTACGGAGACAGAAAAAAAGTTTCAGGAAAAACTTAACTCAGCCTCGGGGAGCGTCGGGAGTATCGAAGGGGCGGAATGGTCCTCCAGCCGCGCGGCACATGTGAGCCAAGAGGCCACCGGTAAAGTGTTTTTATTTCAAAGGAGACGGGGAAAGTATAAGAAACGAGCCGGTATAGGAGAGACCTCTGAGAGCCGCCTGTCAGGAGCGTCCTGTCACCTTCACACCATGGCCTGTCTGCCGGGATTCAGCTGGGTCTTCCTGAGCGCGCTCCTGCACGCTGTGGCACCCTGGGGCGCGCACCGACCGGACAGACCGAGGCAGTGCGACGCACCGAAGTCGGTGAGTCGTGTTGGGACACTTTATGAAGTCACGGATGCCACATTTCTCCCAAAACAGACCCTCATAATACATTATATGTTGTTAACCAGCCTTAACAGCCCTCAAGGGATACTGTTAAGATGGTCACATAACTTTATTTTATTGTAGTTTTCTTTCCTAAAGACATAAAGTTGGAAATATTTGGGAGACATTTTTACGTCTTGGAGGGAACAGTCCCACCATATATCGTTTATTATTAATCATAATTGTGCTTTTTAATGAGGCCAAAGTTGTTTCATTCTTGTTATTATTATTAACTGATAAAGAGATTAAATAAAATAAATTATAAAATATAAGATTATTAAAAGATGGGATGACATTTTGAGTTATTGATTGCTTGATTAATAAGAATTGCCTGATAATTAGGCTGTCAAATTGTAGGCCTTTAATCATAATAAAAATACAAATGATAACGACTAATACTATTTCATGTATTTAAATTAATATCAGAAATTAAACACTGTGCATTATCTTGATATGACATATGAAGTGCAGGTATTTCTGAACTTGCTCATAAAATAACTCAAAAGGAGAGAAATTAATGCACTTTGCCAAGAGAAATCATTAAAGCAGGCCAACTTCATGACTGTGTATGTGAGATAACACAAAGTGGGGAACACACGCGGGTGACTTGACTTCATTTGGGGAAGTTTCACTGACCTTTCAGGCGTGATTCTGTTTCAGCGCGACACACGGCCTACAAAAACACTTATTAGGGAATATTGGTGAGATTATGACTGTGGCTTGAACTCTTACTGTGAAGAAGTGCAGCAGAGCAGAGACATGAAGGAGGGAAAAGTGAGGATTAAGATAATAACTGTAGAAAAAGCATGACCTCAGCATTAGGCAAATGTTCAAATATGACACACTCTGATATCATAAGGGAGTCATTTGGAGATCACGCTTTACTTTAATTAGCGCATCACATCCAACTTGGAAAACGGATTTGTTGTCAGAGATCACTGAAGACTTCGTGCTCTTTAGCCTCATGTGATTTCTAATGCGTCAGTACAGTGGTCTCTGTTTTCTGTTAGGAGTAATTACCCCCATAAAAAAAGGAGCCCAGGCTCTCCAGAAAAGTCCACGCAGCTTTAGCAGAGGGGATCTCGCCTCTCTGCAGGACACCACCACACTTTCCATGTCAGAAAAGTCTTCATTTATGGGGAAGGCTCTAAGTGCACACTTGCAAGTTAACGAATGAGCACGAGGAAAAAAAGCTCTGCTCTCTTAGTGTCCAAAAATATGACAGATAATGCACTAATGCCAGAGGTGGGAGAAGTACTCAGATATTGTACTTCATTAAGGTTTTAGTACCAGAGGAATTCTCTGCCATAGGTAAAAGTCCTTCATTCATCATGTTACTTAAAGGTGGGGTAGGTAATTTAGGAGAAACCAGCTCGAGTGCGCTAGAATTTGAAAATACACAACCGGAAAAAATCTGCCACTTCCTTACAGAGCCCCTCCTCCAACACACACGGACGCGCACATGACCAATGAGGGCACGAGATAAGTTTGTGCACAGATGGAAGGCTGACAGGCAGGTAGGCCATCCAGTTATTTTAGCCGGGCCGGCTCAGATGATTGGTCGTGCTTTTTACAGTATTACGGCTTCCACAGATGACATTTTGTTATGTATTTATTGTCAAAGCATTTAATATATTCATTGCTATCGGGATGTTAAGAGCATTCCATGGAATATAACAAAAAGTGTTTCTGAAATAAATTACACACCCCACCTTAAAGTAAAAGTATTAGCATCAGAAAATAGTAAAAGTACCAAAAGTAAAAGTACTCATTCTGCAGATTGCTCAATTTCAGAATAATATTTATTATATGTTTTATAATTATTGATGCATCAAAGTGTTATCAAAGCTGGTAAAGGTGTAGCTAGTTTGAATGACTTTGTATACTGCAGGGTAGCTTGTGAATGTTACTCCAGGTGGAACTAAAGTCTGATTTAACACTTGATTATATTTCACATCATTATTCCAAATCTGAAAAGCAACTAAAGGGTCAAAATAAATGTAGTGGAGTAGAAGTACAGCATTTGCCTCTGAGTTGTAATGGAGTAGCAGGAAATTGAAATACTCAAGTAAAGTACAAGTCCATCGAAAGTGTACTTAAGTTCAGTACTTGAGTAAATGCACATAGTTACTTTACAACACTGCGAATAAGCACACACAAAAAAAAAGCTCTGCTCTTTTAGTTTCCCTCCCTCAAAAATATGACAGATCGTGTCTCCGATGCTGTCCAAAGCTTTCCCGTCAGCCTCGTGTCGCCTGCACCCTGCCAATGTGGAAATTACAGTTAAAACATCTCGCTGTGTTTGCAAAGAAGAAACGCTGCTGTGAACTAAAATGTAGCACTTTCAATTTATTTTGTAGAGAGAGTTTGTGCCAGGAATGACTTGTATGTTCATTGTAGTTAATTATGATGATAACAGAACATCCCACAAGAAGACCTCACTTGCTCTTGGCAGCGTTTGGAAACATTTTATTTGACAAAGGCAGGGTTGGCAGTGCGCAGTATAATTGGAACACAGCTGAAGGAAATCTTGATTACATTTAAGAAGTACACATTGTCTAAGAATAACTTTATTTTACAGTAATGGGTTTCATGCCTCAAATGCCTGATTACACTGTGTCTCAGAAGCCAGAATGTTGATATTGTTTATACAAGTTAATTCTTTTTCTCATATTAAAATAATGCCAGCATCACAGTCATAACACATGCACAGCACATTTGCACAGCACTTAACAAGAAACATATTCGAAACGCAATATCGAATGTCTGATTATTTCATTTCCATCGTGAAGTTGTTTTGTATAAAGATAACCGCACTAGACAAACACTTCCTGTAATGTTAACCTCAGAGCAGTGCTGTTCTTAAGGCTGTCAGCTGCACATTTCCCCGCCTGGTGTTAAAAAAAAAATCACAAACAAAAGTATCACAGAAGGGTCAGAGAGCGGAGAGCAGGTTTCTTTCAGCTTTTGGCTTTTATGAGCTCCAGTGCAGTATATTTGCACTGCAGCTTTCAAAATGCTTCCCAGGCCGAAAGAGGCTTTGGCAACGGAGGTATGCACCTCAACAATACACGGGGGTCTGTTTACAGCCCAGAAGGCCCCTCTATAAACCTCTGCCCGCTCCATCGCAGCAAGCCAGAGCTGACTAGACTTCCCCTGCCGTCATCTCAGAATTTCAATCTTTAACTTGTTGACCCGGGCCTATTAGCCAGTAAACCACAAAAAGGGAAAAATGTGTCAGCTTTAGTTTGCTTTAAATGGTGGTTCTCTCCATATATAAACGTTCATCTCTTACTTTCTTCCACAGCAAAGTGACATGAACTCTTTCCTGTGGCGGGTAAAGCGTGCGCCTCCTCACCCACCCTCTTACTTATTTGGTACCATCCACGTGCCCTACACTCGGGTCTGGGACTTTATACCTGACAGATCCAAGCAGGCTTTCCACAGCAGCCGCAACGTGTTCTTCGAGCTGGACCTGACGGACCCTCTGACCATCTCCAAGCTGACCAACTGCCAGCTGCTGCCCCACGGGGAGAGCCTGCAGACGCTGCTACCTCGAGATCTGTACCGCCGCCTCAAGCGCCACCTGGACTACGTCAAACACATGATGCCTTACTGGATGACCTCAGATCAGCGGGGTCGTGGACTGTACGCTGACTACCTGTTCAACGCCATCGCAGGGAACTGGGAGAGGAAGAGGCCGGTGTGGGTGATGCTGATGATCAACTCGCTGACGGAGTGGGACGTCCGGTCCAGAGGGACGCCTGTGCTGGACCTGTACCTGGCGCAAGAGGCTGAGAGGATGGGGAAGACGACAGGGGCGGTGGAGCGGGTGGAGGAGCAGTGTCACCCCCTCAACGGGCTCAACTTCTCTCAGGTAAGAGGCAGAATTAATATATTTTGTTTATTTTATGCATTTGATTCCCTGTGTGTTTAAAGCTGAAGTTGAAATTGCAAGAACATACTGTATCAGACCTAGAGGGGGCCGGGGTAGATCATATAATCTGTGTCATCTTCCTGTCGTAAAGCAGCCCTGAAGAGAAGCAGGTTGAGTAATTTAAGCGCAGTGGAAGTTTACAGATTTTGGGTATTTCACAATCTCTGAGCTAAAGAGTTAGAGAATGTGAAAGAAGACCTGATTAAAAGCCGTCTTGAGACAGGGTTAGGGTTATGGATGTGCATCCACCTCACTGAACAAACACTCAACAGCTGGATGTTCAGAGAGGGTGTCAGGCTGAGCAATGCACATGCAGAACAGCTTAGAGAAGGTGAGAGGAGCGGGGGGATCTCTGGTTCATTAACAGACTGTCCGGCTGCCTCTCTGAGGTATTGTTGGACGCTAGCACTGTAATCGGAGACTGGAAGAGGAACAAAATAAACATATTTCTTGGCGAGTGTTACATCTTTTTGATCTTGTCTGATTATAAATAATTGAATGCATCTTTCTAATCATCCGTCTTTTTGAGGTCATTTTAGCTCGAGTCTGCTTTTTCAAACTGTGTGAGGTCCCGCAAAAATCTGTAAAATCTGCGACGAGCCACGCAGAGGATGCTCCGTTCAAATTTATGATCTAATGCGACCTTTGATCTACACACTAAGGAGAAAAACATCTCAGTGTGTGTATTCATGCAGCACTCACAACCTCACACATGTGCTCTGCACGCACGGCACCCCACACACGAAGACACACTGTACACACGCAGAGCTCCATACATGCACATCGGCCGTGCCTAAGCCTCCATGTGACAGGTCCGAGGGCTCCGGGGCTAATTTGAGAGGCCGTGGGCTCTCAGCCTCTCCTCTTTCATCAGCACATCCTAACTACGCTGTCAAAGCCACGCTGCATGCCCTTTGCACATGCCTGGGAGCTTTACTGCCCCTCGAAATAAGCTCAGCAAGAAACACAGTTATGAAGAGGAGACGTGCTAATGCCGTTCTGTAATCTGTACCCAGGTATGTCCTGCAAACAGAGGTGGGAGAAGTACTCAGATCTTATATTTCAGAATAATATATCTTATATATTATAATCATTGATGCATCAGTGTTATCAAAGCTGGTAAAGGAGCAGCTAGTTGTAATGATTGTATTCACTGCAGGGTAGCTTGTGAATTTACTCCAGATGTAACTAAAGTCTTATTAAAGTGTTTATATTTCACATTATTAATCCATATCTGCAAAGTAAATGAAGGTATTTAATAAATGTAATGGAGTAAAAGTTCACTATTATCCTCTGAATTGTAGTGGAGTAGACGTACAGCTAGCAACAAATTGAAAAACTAATGTAAAGTACAAGTATCTCAAAATTGCACTTCAGTACAGTAGTTAGTGACTCGATACCACTGCCTGCAGAGGTGTTGTTTTCATGAGATGTATGCTTCTTTGTCTATATAAAGTAGTCCCAGTCTAACTGTCTCTAATGCTGATCTGTATTTAGTGTGGCTCCGTACGACAGTTGCCCCTAAAAACAACACTGTTTTGAGTTACATCGTAACAGGGTTGAGTTGCAGTACAGTGTCCAACTTTAGAGAGCCGTGTTTATGTTTCCAGAGCACGTCTTTTTGACTATATTAAGCATAATCTATTGATCTACAGGGGAAAGAACAAGCCCTGAATTTACAAGAGATGGTAACATTTTTACAAGACAGATGTCCAAATTCAGATAAGAATTTTATTGCCATGAAAATCCAGTCAAAATCGGATCAAGGATAACTTAAATGTCACCCCACCTTCTGAGCTTCCAACCCCCTCCTTTACCAAATCTGTATGAGAGCTGAACTGAAGCTGACATGGAAACCATTATTCTCAATTATAATAATTTGTGATTTAATCTGAACAATATGGCTGATAGAGTCCCACTACGCTTGACTGTAACACGGATGGGGTCAGGAGGAAGAGTCAAAGAGAAAAAATCCTGGTTGGGAATCAGAACAAAGAGAAATGAGACACACAGTGAGAGAAGTCAGAGATTGACTGGGGAGTAAGTGAAAGTGTAGAGGCGGGCTTGAAAAAGCAGGAAGACTGATGTGCATCGTCCCACCGCTAACGCTAATCTGAAACATGAGCGACTTTAAAGGCAGATCTGAGTTGGGAAAGGTTCCAAACCCTGACGGCCCACATATTATTTGTTCCCAATAAAAGTAGTTGCTTACAATATCCTGTAACTCCGACTTCAATGAGAGGCTCTTAGAAACGTGAACGCCGGTGATTCATCATCCGTCACACTGTCGGGTTTCTCAAAAGGCACCTGGACCTGGTGGTGCCAGCGCAGTGAGGCGAGAACCTCTGCTAGACCTGAGGTAATGGGTCCAGGTCTGCAGGTTAGCTGTGACCTCATCTCTCTGGGATATGAGGAGGTGGAGCGGATGTTTTATTGCGGCGACCTTCAGCTTGTAGGTCTGATGTCGGCGGCAGCAGCGTAGGAGGGACGTTTAGAGTTCCCGAGTCCTCCTTAGAGCGTCGAGGTCGAGCTGAGTCTGTCTGAGATCCCTCTGTGCGCTGCTCAGATCTCAGCGAGGTGTGGATGTCTCTGTGAGAGGCAGTTTAGAGCTCGTGAAAACAAAGGCATCTCGCGGTGCATGGTTCTTCTCCAGCTCTTTGGAGGCCGATGCAGGTTGACAGCGGGGCGGGACGACCGGCACCAAATGTCTTCAAGTAGCGAGTGAGAACAGCTGGAGAAAGCTTTATCTCTTCGGAGGCTGCACAGCTACAGGAGGGGAATCATATGCAGGTTCCTTACCGAGAGGTGGATCAATTAACCCTCCTGTTGTGTTCTGGTCAATTCTGACTGATTTACTTATTTCATCAATCATATATTGTGTTTGACATTTGATTGCTTCAAGGCCTTATGAGTATGACATCCTCCACAGCAGGCATTTGAAAATATACAATTGCTGCTCACCACTTTTATTCAATCTGAATGGTGAACTTCGTACATCTATGGTCTTCCAGGTCAAAAATGGCCTCCAAAGGAAATGAAGGGTTACTTTAGATTATGTTCATCCATCATATAGTACATATACCCACACATTGACAACATTTTATAATTTTGGAATATATTTTCAGTGTCTATTCTTTGTATATTCACTGCAGTTATCCATGTGAACCAGAAGTCTGATACATTGTTTACAGCTTAAAAGGGTGTTAAATAAAATGTGTTGATGATTAATGTTTTTTTATTGTTTATTTTAAGAGCTGTTAAAACAGACCGGTCAAATTTGACCTGGAACACCAAAGTAAGGGGGGAGAAACGAACACGACAGGAGGGTTAATTAAATCATGACTTCAGGTATCTAAAATAATAAATCAGAAGATGCAAGGTGATGAAATTGAGTGGTCTCAGCATCACAGAGGTACAGTGTAATAACCAAACCACCGTGGTTTATTTGTCTGTTTGTGGAGTAAAGATTTGGTACAAAAACGTCTGTAGTGCAAAGCTGCGTTTAGGAAAGTCCAGGGCGGCTCCGACCTGTGGGCCTCCCTCACTCCCACCAAATAAACACCCATATTTATTTTGCCTGGGTCGCATTGCAGCCGAGGCCACTGGCCCATGTCGGAGAGAAATTACATCATATCGGTGGCGCCTGTCTCCTGGACAGGGGTCGGAGGTCGCGGCTGGAGGAGGTGGTGGAGCCGTGGAGCAGCAGAGCAGAGAGGAGAGTCTGGAGGGTCAGACTGATACCTGCACAACCTCCGACCAGTGTACAGCAGCACAAGCTATTCTGTGTTTAGACGTGTGTGTGTGTGAGAGAGAGAGAGAGAGAGAGAGAGAGAGAGAGAGAGAGAGAGAGAGAGAGAGAGAGAGAGAGAGAGAGAGAGAGAGAGAGAGAGAGAGAGAGAGAGAGAGAGAGAGAGAGAGAGAAATGGAGTTTTGTTTATTATTATCTTGATATAATTATCATCCGAAGTTTACTTTCATTATTATTACCAACTTTGTTTATTATTTCTTATTAGTTTCTTCGTTAGTTTTTTTGCTATTCTTTGGCAAAAATATTTGATTGAAGATTTTATACATTTGCCAATAAATCAGACTAAGAATCAGGATTATTGCCAAGTAGATTTATGCATACAAGTAATTTGCTTTGGAGTATAATGCTGCATACATACACACAGATAGTATATTATGAAACTATTGAAATTACTAATAGATTATGACTTTGAAAAAATAAATAAATATGTGCAGTATGTCAGAGTTTAAAAGTGGAAGAGTTGTGCAGTTTTAAAGAAGTAGCACTGTGCAAATATGTGTACAAATTCACAGGATGTGCAATAATGTAACGCATAATGGAGGGGTTAAAGGGTCTGTGTCAGTGAGGGTCCCGGGCCTTGTTGTTGAGGCCAGTAGCTAACGGGAAGAAACTGTTTAAGTGGCGTAAGGTTTTTGGTCCTGATGGACTGGAGCCTCCTGCCAAGCATACAGAAACAAAATATGAAATTGACTCTCTGTACATCCCAGTGTTGTCCCCTGAGGGGCTGCAGAGGGGAGGGGGTACATGTGGTAGGTGACAGAATCCGGTCTGATACGGTACATCAAGAGGTAATCTTCCTCTGTTCACAGCTTCAGTGACAACCTGACATGTTATTTTCAATGAGTTAATCATCTCTTCTCCAGGGAAGACGTCGGGCTGAGGCGCTGGTTTGTGCTGACACTGCCGTTTCACACATGCTGTGGTCGCAGTAGGACCCTCTCAGGCCCGGAGATGTCTTTTTTTTTAATAGGATAATAATATGAAATGTGATTACTTCTCGCTTTTCCAGTATATGTATGAAAATATAAAATGAAAAGGCGCTAGGGTAGCAACCACTGAATGTACACACAGCGGTCGTAAAGTGAATCAATTGTCTGTTTTGGCCATGCTGTTCCCTGTAATCATGTTCAAA